GATCTGATTTCCGTGCTTTGGACGTGCTATATTTCGTGCAGTCATGTGCAATCACGTGTAAAAATTTCTTATAGGGATATAAAGCTTTAAATTTGAATCTTTAATGTTTTTATCTAACCATTTTTTGAATAAAGTTCGATTTAATACTTTGAAGACATTTTTTGTTTGGAAAGATTGTTAGACTTTTCAAGAAAATTAAACACCTAAAACATAAAATTAATAAATATATTTATTTAAACACGGATAAAAAAAAAATAAAAAAATCTTTTTTATACCTTATGAAGAGTTTTTCTGTATTTAAATTTCAGATTCGGATTCATTACCTTCGGTACTCGATTCCTCAGTATCTATATTTTGGTTTTTTGATCGATCGTTAAATTGATTTGTCTTACCGATCCTTTTCAAAATTGGAAAAGGCGCACATATATAACAAAGATTGGCAAAAAGCAGAGATTACTGTTTTATGACTTTATGAATTGTTAAACCTTACATTCATATAAATGTTAACTAATTTAAATTGTTTAAATTCCGAATCTAATATATAATGAAACGCCACACTGTTTTACTTATGTAGTAATATTAGAATCTCGAATTCAAATGGATCCCGTTTCATCAACAATTATTTCACCAACTTTTAATTCTAACCACTTTTAAATAACTCTACCAGACGAATCAGTACTGGATTTATAGTGCTATTGCTATAAAAATTTTGACCATGCATATTTGCATATTGAACCTAAGTGGAGATCCATCGATTCAAATAATGGGATTTCAAAATTAATGGCTGAATAAAATATATTTATTTCGAAATAATTCGAAATAAGTGATATATACTTCTATTTCATTTTCTGTTTAGAAACACAAACAAGAGATTTTACGTTCCCGATTATTTTTCAAAATAAGAATTCTGAAACCCCCTAAGATGACTATTTTAAGTATCGGGAGGAGAGTTCAAATAACTAACAATGAGATTGTTCCCACCATTTTGAACTCAAAGGTTTCATACGATTGTTCTCAATGGGCTTTAGCCTCATACTAAGCCTAAATTATCATCAATTAATGTCATTTTCATATGTCGATCGAATCTTGAGCAGTTCTGAATGAGATCACATCATGTGCTTATAATCTAATGCCAACCCATTCACATTTATAACCTTATAATTGCACCATTCGTTTTCTTTTGAACCCAGTTTTCTATTTTTGGTAACACGCTAATAACGAATTAAGAACAAAATTTTAGAACATTAAATACGTACGTATATAGAACAGTAAGGAAAATTAACAATTTTATAAATCTCTGATCGCTATTATTTCTTTGTGCTAAGATGACATCATAATTTGCAAGACTTCATTCGGCTTTTACGCAATAGATTGATGAATAAAATTTATCCAATTAAAACGAAAGCTCACTATGTCGATAGAAAACCTGGCAGTGGGATATCAATAGAGATGGGCAAGGTATTTACTTATCATATAAAAGTTAAATCACACTATGCGACAATTTACTAATAATCTATTACTTTATTACTTATAACTAATAATATGTTAAATTGTCACGTTGTGTGATGCGACTTTTACGTAATAAGTCATCAATAGATATCACAAATTAAATGAAATTCCACAATTATTATGATCTGAAACAAAATCTAATTGTCTTAACTCGCAATATATGTTAACTTGTTAACCTTTTTATAAAACCTGTTTCTTATCTAGGCACATACAATACGTACGTACGTATTTTTTTTCAACGTTTACTGCTAACTCCAGTATATCATCGTATTGTTTATTTGGAATAGTATATAAATACTTTTAAGCAAGCACTTTCATAATGATACGTTAAAAAATACGTTCTGTTGGATGTAAATGTATGATTTATTATTCGCACATATAAAAATTGATATTAAATATTATTTAAGAATTAAAGTTAATTTTTTTATTTAATTTGTTTTTTTTTTAAATAGATTCATTAACTTTTTAACGTTTTATAACAATGGTAAATGCAAACGAATGGTTGAATAAAAAAATTCCTGCGGATGAAAGGAAACGTGCAACAGCTCTTTACATCTACGGTAAATGTCAATGTGCGTTTGAAAAAGGGTCAAGATTCGGTCATTCCGCACTAAAAGCACATACTGCACCTTTTGGGGGAATCAAGCCCACGCCTCCCGTAACGACACAGTCCAGTGGACTTTTTGGAATTAAACCAATGCACTCACCTCCCGTAACGACACAGTCCAGTGGACTTTTTGGAATTAAACCAATGCACTCACCTCCCGTAACGACACAGTCTACTATGTTTGGATCTGATTTGTTTGGAGGATCCGATCTTTCTGAAAAGCCACTGTTTAATAAAGGTGTCAATAAGTTTGGAAGTACAGTGTATAATAATTGTCAACATTGCAATAATAAAGATCAAAATAATATTTACACTCCACCAGATTATTGCTTTTGTAATGTTATTTTGGAAGGAGAGCTAGATCTTAATGACTTTGTTAATTTGCAAGTATTACATATTGAAGGTAGTGAGCATAACAAGGAACAGCAACAAAAGTTAACAAAGTTGAAGATTGAGAGATGTATTGAGTTAACTTCTCTCACGATTAGCCATACAACCCTTGGTTATTTAAGTTTCGGTAGTAAACCAAAATTAGAACGCCCTAATTTTGTTGGAAACAAAAGACTTATTTTTTGTGATAGTGTCTTAAGAGATCAAGTAGAAAGATTAACCAGTTTGATCCGAGCTACTAAAGTTATTAGTTTTGGAGATTTAAAATTGGAACTTAAGAAAATAGAAGAAGAAAACTTTGAGTACCAGGTAGATGTTATGAAAAGTCAGTTGGATGAAGGTAATCAATTGTGGTTAGAGAGTTTAGTAGAAGCACAACAAGAAGTTTTACAGAATAACAGCACTTATGCCCGTAAACAATTAGAAAAATGTAAAAAAAAATTAACAGAGGTGCTAACCGCTGAAGAAATCCAAGATATTTTGGGTAAAAAAGTAGAAATTAATGAATTAGGAATCCAATTAAATAAACTCAACAAATTATCTTTAAGCAATTAACGGTTATATTAGAAAACGGGTAAATATCAATTTCTTATTTGTAATAATGATTGTTATTTCATATTATATATAATGAATGAAAATTAAATAATATTAATAAATGCAGATTTATTCTCAAAATTGTTAATCGAATCATTGTTTCAAACAAGAATTCAAATTTTCTAGAAGAATTAACGTCTGTTAATAATTCTCAGAAGGCATAATATAAGAATAATAAGCGCACATTTTGTTTATATATTCTATTTGTCAACATGATTTTTTTTCAATTACATATTAATAATTCTTTCGTCTGATATGATATTATGTTTGATTATTTCTTTTTTTATATTACAGTTTCATTTTTTATTTGATAAATAATTTAGTTACGATTAAGAAATTATTTGAACAAGGTGGATATAAATCATTGGACGTGATTTTTAACTAATAGGATAGGTTTAAAATTTTAAACTACCAAAAGTTTTTTCAAAGATTTCTAATTATGTATTTATGGATGTTGAGTTTATTAATTAAATGGAACTTTGCGATCTTATAAAAAAAAAAAAAGTTGAAATTAGTTTACTGTAATTTGAAAACCTGTTTATTCTTTCTCTAGTCATAGAGTTAAAATTTTTGAAAAATCAAACTTACTAAATAAAAGATCGGCAAATTCAAATTTTAAAAATATGAATTTATAACGATCTCAAAAAAAGAATTAATGAAATTTATTTTTTGTAGACAATAAGGGTAGTAAAAACTATTAATGAGGCGGGAATCTTAGGTACATAATATAAACATTACAGTGACATACATTTTTTATTAGCCTTAAATAATGATAATAACTAATATTTATTTCCACCGCCATAACTATAGTAATATCAAAATTTGATCAAAAATTTAGATCCTAGATCTAAAAAGCCCGCGGTAATAGCTGAAATAATAGGAAAAAGCATGTCCTTCATGAAATAGTTAAAACATTCACATGCTTTATTGAAGACTCCACGCCAAAAGGAATGTTTCTTTTCTTTGGTTTCTCCCGATAATGTGACTGATTGAATATCATAAAATGTAAAAAAAAGTTATAAACAAAATGTGAATAGTTTTATAGAACAAAAATTTTTCTTACCTCCTGAAAAACTTTGAAAAAGAAGGTCACGATAATATTTGTGCTCGTCAGGAGTCATATTTGGGCTGACATTATTATGATAATTTTCCAATAGTTGGTCGTAAGCACGAAGTTTTGAGTTTAAATCAGACATAATGAATATTAGCGTTAGTCAATATTAAGATCAAAAAAACATCCTTACGTCTTTATATATTCTATCACTGGCAAATCTCGGTTATCACGTGTACGCTTAGCATGTCATACAATACTTGTTTATGGAAAAAATGTCACTTAAAAAAATTATGCGGTCTTAAAAATTATGTTAATCCCGGAATAACTCCAAAATGAACGTAACACATTAACGCCCAATTCTGTGGGTTTACAAACTTTAAAAGTATACATAACGATATATGTAAAAGAGTAACAACTTTCGTAGTGGACAAGGTGAATTGAAAATCGATTAGTTGACTGGGTTGACAACTAATCGGTTAAAAATTTTAAGCCAACTATTAATCGATTAACCAACCAATTGATTAATTGATTGACTACTGTAAATTTCTATTATATTTAATATATTGATGCAAAATCAGTTTTAAAGATCATAATTATAAGATTATTAACTGATAGATTACTTAACTTATCAACCGATTAATCGATTAGTTAATTTTTTAAAAATAATCAGCTAACTAATCGATTACAGATACGCAAAGGTGTTAAAGCTCATTTACCTTCATGTAATTTAGTTGTTTAAATTCTAGAAAAAAAAATTTTTTCGACCGTATAATATGGTATTACATGACATTTCAAATTGTTTTTAGAAGTACCAGATTCCTTACAAACAATGATTTATGCAAACTACCTTTGTCCAGGAGTATGCAATAATTCACTGCATAAGATAGAAAGATAAACATACAAGTTACATAACTGGATATTACTATAAGGTTGCCAAAGCCCTTACTTGAGATAGAACGTAAATTCTCTAATGGATATATAAAGTGACACAATTTAATGTCATTATGAACCGATAAGGTATATGCATAAGCGCATTTTGACATAAAATCGGATCTTATTACTTAATATGTACCATCTGTATAACGTGAAAAATAATCAACGGTCCTTCTAAGAATCATTATCTTCTAAATGTTCATTAGTGCGTACGTACGTCCGTCATAAGATCAAAGGATTTTCGCATTTTCTGAATACAGTATACTGCATAAAGTACCTTTTGGATTTAAAAAAAAAGGTAGTTTTTATTAGAATCGTATAATTTCACGTGAAAATAAAAGTTACACGACACTAACTTTAAAAGATTATTCCAATAACGATAAAATTTAAGTCCGTGATATTTATTACATTTTTAAAAAGCTATAAGTTGTTTATGTTGATAAAGATATTTCCATTATTCATATATGAATACTAAAGAAAATTAAATTAGTTTTATATGAAAATGGATATCTTAGCTGAGCTTGAAGCGAATCAACGTCTATTGGACACTGGTGAAATAAATGAAAATGAATATAACAAACGCAGGAAGTCAATACTTGATGGATCAGCTGGACTAGTTAATATGAAGAAATCTGACTCTGACGGTAAGTTGCAAAGAAACAATATTATGCTTACTTGGAGAATACAGTATACTAATTATTTAAGACCTAATACTGTAGTATCTAGTAAACCAAAGAATACGAGTTTGTACGAAATTCTTCAATTAAATCCCGATGCAACAGAAGCAGAAATTAGATCAAGTTATAGAAAACTTGCTTCTAAATATCATCCCGATAAAAATGACGGAATTGAATTAGAAGAGGTACCATACCCTGTTAAACGTTTTCTAAACTTTCCTAAACTCATTACTTTGATGTTATTTACAGTGGAACAAGCTTTCAAATGCATACCAAATCCTCTCGGATACAAACAGTCGTTATCTTTACGATAATTTTGGAACAGTAAATAATTGTAAGTGTTAAAATTCATCTTATCTTAATAAATATCTTAATAAATATCTTAATAAATATCTTAATAATATTTTTTTTTATTCTATCTTTTATAATGATATTTACTTTTAGCTTTGGAAAATAAAACATCACTCAATCACTATGTTGGAGGTGACGCTTGGCTACCTTATATTGGTAACTTGGAAATTGGCCTTTGGATGTTTTCAATTGCAAACAATGGAAATTCTCCAGAAATAGAACATATGACTACACCTGAGCAAAAAAATCACCGTCACACAGTTCGTGTATCTACCATCGCTCACTACCTAAGAGACAAGCTTACTCAATTTCCAAAGCAAGAAGATTCTTCAGAGTTTGAATCATTTATGGAAAGTCTTCGTCAAGAAGCGCTGAGACTTTCTGTAGAACCTAATGGCAAAATGTTACTATCCTTTTTAGGAGAAATTTACATGACCAAGGCTCAACCATATTTAGGAGAAATTTGCATGACCAATGTTCCAACATATCTAACCATGTTTTCTGTGCCAAGCATTAAATATTCTAGTCTTTTTAACAATTTTATGTTTATGATGGGCATGGTCTCTGGATTCTTTCTGGTTAAAACCAGTAATAAAATGAACCAGGATGAGGTAAAAAGCCTATATATTCTTTTCTGCTAAAACTCAAAACATGACTCAACATATATATATATATATATGTTTTTTTATTTAAAAAAATTGTAGGTCATCAATGTAATTTGGCAAATCTCTAGGTCAGAAATATCTTCTATCGCTTGTGAATCCTGTGATAAAATTCTAATGGATGAAACTCATAATAATTCGAATGTAAAACATCACCTCGCCAATTCTCTCCATCTTTTGGGTAAGGTGTGGTTGGAAATAAGCAATCAATAAAGAATGTAATCTCTTTCAATTTTTTAACACAATTAATGTTTTGTAAATAAAAAAAAACTAATATTAATTAAAAGGATATATAATTTCTATTAAAATTTTTTCAAATTTAGCTAATCAAAGTCAAAACAGTGTATATGCTTTAAAATCCTCACTTTAAAATATGGCAGCAACGTTAATAAAATTGAAAAAGAAAAATAAAATGCCATCTGTCACTATAACGCACAGTGTTGGCCGATGATATATGTCATAACATTTTTTCGATATGACCTTTGTCTTATAATCATGGGAAATTATAGGCATCTCTCGCGGGATATATATAAGTTATATATCTCCCACAAACAAATTTGTTTAAGGTAGGGTTAGAGCTTGTGATAGAGTTAGTGTTAGTGAAATACATAGTAAAATTGCTCAAGAAAAATTTTTGTTAGGGCACGAAAGGTAGTTTCTTATGCAAATGTTCGGAAAATAAGCAATTTTTGAAAAAACGGAAGTTTGTTTTGATCTTCATGATTGTGCTATGGTACACTAAATTCTGATTAAATTCTGGCTCATCATTGGGTAATTCGCAGGAATATACATCTCCCGTGGGAGATGCCTAAAACTACCCTATAATCATATGACTTTTTGGTCAGGTTATATCAAATATTAGGAAAAAATTTTTTTTACTATAAAATTTACTATATTAAAAGATTATAAAGTCATATTAACCTTCATTATGACAAATACCCTATTACAGGTCATAAAGGTTATATAGATTATTTAAGGTGATCAGCCAATACTGATAATGCACACAATTAATAAATATTATTTGTAATATTATAATAATATTGAAAATTTTCATTTAGAAGAATTTTATCACATATAGGTTTTTAGCAAAACCTTGTATTTCTCAAATCTCTTAAAATAAATAAATCTTACTACTTCATTGCAATTTAGCTACCTTGCTACAATTTAACATTTTTAGTTATTTAACTTATACAGTAATACAATCAAATTCTTATTATTAATTGCTTTGAATTATGCTTTTCTTTTTTTGATATTAAGCAAAATCTTGTTAATATATTTATTAAGAATTTTATTTATATAGTAGCTATCTAAATAGTTACTACAAATATAAAAAATTACATTGCAAGAATAAAAGCTATCTAAACCTAACTATGTTTTTCTTATAACTTGAATCTTCTTACTTGATTCGGGTTTTATATTTATCTTACTAGATAAATCATTTTCATTATAAAATAATCTTTTATTATATATTTCTTATACAGTTTTTTCCTCTATTCTGTTAATTGATTTTAATTCAAAATTTTCAGCAGTGTTAACATCCATTGTATCATTAGCTATGTAAACAAATATAAAAGGTTATATAATAATATAAATTATCTTAAAACATGAGTTATATATGACCCATATCTGCAGAAAATTCAGCACAGTTGGAAAATGTATACCCATAAAAATTCTTAAAATTATCACAATCTACAACAAAACAGTTGTTTAGTAACAAATTTAAGGAATTTAATTTCCTTTGTCCATTTCTACATATTAAAAAGACCCAGTTCTTAATGAAGAATTCTCTTTTAAATAAATTTTGCAATTTATTGATGCATTCTTAACTTTATTATACTCTGAATTTAATATACTCTTATCAAATACTTGAGACATAACATCTAAAGATTTGATTTGGATAACAAAAAAGTAAACATTTAAGAAAAAAAAAGAGATTCTATGAGATACTAACACAATTTTTATACACTATACCAAGTGACAAATATAAATTCTGTACCATATTAGGATATTAAAAGTCAAGTTTTGATATTTAATAGAGTTCTACACTTGGAAGCTAAAATGTATATTCTGAATCATAGTTATATTCAATGCAAAATGCACTTCTAAAGAGCTCTTAAATTGTTATTAGCTTATTTAAGAAAAAAAGAAGTCGAAGGCATAAAGTTCAGAATTGCATATTAAAATCTTTAAACTTCTGCAAATTAATATGTGGATTTTGTTCAATCATAAAATTTCAGAAGTTACCCAATATTTTATTGAATGATATTAATATCTACATCCATATATATAGCATACAAATAAAAGCTAATATGTATTGATTTCAAATTTAAAACATCATATGATAAAAGATTAATATAATTTAACTGTTCTTTATTGTCAGCTTTGTTATGTTCTCCCACAAGAATGTTAAGAATTACATGTACAATAGTTAGAGTTATAACATTGAATATTGCTTAAATAAATATTTTTCATTAGTGAGTTCTTAATATCTGATATTATTTACACATTATATATATAATTAGTTTGGCATTTTACTTGTCTTGATAGCATACAATAAAACAGTTCTAGAGCTTGAACTTGACTATTAAGATTATTAATACATCATTAAAAAGTACTTTTATTAATATGTTTTTTCAGATTTTTAGTATTGGCAATATTTTTACTAATATTTCACACTTCTTCACTTCAAAAAAGATGTAGTAGTAAGTGTAAATAAAGAAATCCAGATTTTTTAAACATTTCTTCCAGAGTATCTTAAATAGTTTTGGCTAAAATAAGTAAGTAAAATATATTTTTAATACTATAATTTAAACTTTCAGCTACATGTACAATTAAATGAACAGGATTTTGTTGTGAATTCAATTCTTTTTTATATGTTATACAAGTAATTTAATTCATTAATTCTAATAATAATGAAATTAGTTTTTTATTATCATTCTTATTAGCATCAATATTTATAAGAATAATCTCAGGTGCATCAATAATTTTGAGATTTACTATACCTTTTTAAAAATTGTTCATAACTATTATAACCATCATATGACCCTTTAGCAATGAAGTGTTTATACAGTATTAATAATGCAACTGATATTTGACTAATGTATAAATCATGATCTGATGCAATAGTACTATTTTCAAGGTTATATTGATAGAAAATATTCAATTTTTAATTAAATTAAAAGGAAAGTATCATCTATACATTTCTCAACATGGTTATATAATAAGGCTAACAATTCTTGAAGAATTTGACTCTTTTTTGTGCCTGGGTTATTAGCCAAAATAGAAATAAAATATTATATCTGTTTGTTAATTTACATTGTTAAAACATTTAGCTCTTCTAAAGTTTCTCCAAATAAAATTTCTATAGTCCATCATGATTCTGTAAAAAGAATTTAGCACAATATGAATTCACAAACTAATATAATCTATAAATTAGTGCATAATTAAGAAGAGTAAAAATGAAGCATAAAATATAAACATCAAAAAACCTTAGGTTTAATAATCTCACTTAACTATCTCAAATTTTGTATCCAAGTAAAAATTAATTTGTTGTAAACTGCTTTTATAAAAATGAAAATAAATTATAATGTAAAGCTACAAATGATATTTGATTTATTTAATGAGATAATTTACCTTTTGCCTGTATAATAATATTGATGTAAGTGATATCTATAGAGAATTGTTCATTAAAATAATTAGACATAAGATTTGTTAAGAGTAGAAATGGGCAAATTGTCAATTTTTTAAAATTATTGTATAGGCTACATAGCCTACACAGCTTGCATAATTCTGATTCCTCTAGGAATCTAGGGTTCATAATTATGTATCTACTTTGTATATATAAAGTTAGGCTCTTGTTATTTTTTATTAGTGCTTTGAGGTTAGTTTAAATATTAGTTCAGTTTTTGAGTTTTGCATTTTTCACTATATTTTAATAAATTTTTGTTAATTATTAGCAAGTAAGTATAAGTTTTAAATTGTTTTTAAAATTGCTATTTAATAGTTTATAAAGCTCTGTAATTTACCACTATAGTGATATATTGCTACTTCTGGATTTATGTCAAAATTCTGAAAGATAAAATTTCAAAAGTTTAAGTTCTGATATTAGGATTCAATATTCAAATTCTGCTCTTATAATAAGTAATCTATATTTTGAAACATAAGTGGAGTTTGAATATTAGAACCTGACACTGTAAAACATGACTAATAAGTTTTAAAGGTAGCAATAAATCACTATAGTGTAAATTGCAAAACTCTAATTTAAAGATCTTTATTTTAATATAATAATATATATTTTAGTAAATGTTTTTGTAAACTTATTAGCATATAAGTATAGGTTTAATTATAATTACTTTTAAAATTATTACAATTTATATAGAAAATTGCTATTTCTACCCTATTTTTGCTAATGCCACCCCCAAATATTATAAAGTGCTCTGAAATAGATATTCTTATTAAGTAAATCTTTCTTGTAATCTTAATAAAAGTTGTTTGGTTTAGGCTGCAGATAAACTAATCTGAGTTTCTTTTCTTGCTATCATTAGATATAAAGTTTAAGTTGTAATTCTTTTCTGTATAAAAGATTTTAATTAAATTTTAATAAAGACAGAGACATAGTCTCACCATTAATATTCAAAAAAAAAAACAAATGATACAAATAGTTTTTATAATATATATAAAATAATTTTCTAATTTATTAAATATTATATAAAGATAGTAAAATTTTTAGCATAATTAAAATTTCATTGCTTTATTGGCATTAAAGATAAAAATTTAATTAATAGAAGATTATTTAACTAATCAAAAGTATTTATTATATTTATATAAAAATTTTAATAACAATTTAAATATATAAATTTATAAAATAATCAAAGTTTTCTTAAGCAGTATAATTAATTAAAAACATGATAATACTTTATTTATTATAATCAAAATACAAATTACAACTAATACTTATCAAATATTATTCTGTTAGGTTT